CCCTTCCCCCTGCCCTACACGCGCGATGGCGCACAGTAGTCCGATGAAACCTGCATCAACAAGGCTAAGCAAAATGCGTATAGCACTAGCTAATGAACGCGTAAGTGATCTGGTTCCGGTATGCCCAATTGGGTGAATTCACAGAGCCGACACATTCAATATCACGCGCAGTTTTCGCGGGTGCTGTATCCCCGGTTACGTGACATCTTGAACTTTCTGTGCATGGTCCTGTTGCGAAACCAAGAAACGCAGACAGGTAGAGGACAGCGCCTGCCAAAGCATCGAGACGTGCAAGAAACTATGGCGAACCCGCGATGGGTGAACTACTTATCATACGTGAAAACCAGGAATGTGCGAGGTGACAATGACCATGGAGTGCTACGCGAACAAGGAGAGAGACAGAGAGAGCAGAGAAAAACACAATTGGACGGGTTCAAAGGAATTGAGTTCTGAATTGAGAGTAGTTGTCTGTAGACCTTTGTGTCATGGCAGCCCACGTCGAGTACCCTTCATTTCACGGAAAACGGAAAAAAAAAGTCCGACAATCACCAAATTACATTGCTCCCAACGTCAGTGTGCTTCCTCAATGAGTCGAACGATTGAGCGACTACTTACTCTTCCAAGGTAAGGTCTTGAAACAAACGGTTTGAGATATGGACTGCCACAGTGCAAGCGATCTGATGCCAAAATGTTGCGTCGATTCAACTAGCCAGGACTGGTAGCCGGTTCATGTGTGGAGTGTTACTACCAAGTCGAAGCATCTCGCGCGCTAGCAGATCATTTCCTGGATGGACAGAGATGCAGAAAGAGCGGGTCGACTTGAGAAATGCGCATTTGTCCCGCAGCAACTTTGCATTGGTGGATTGGGTCTGGGAGACAACTTTAGGATCATACGGAATTGCGCGCGGTAAATTGCAAGAACCGCCGTTCACGGTAGAACGCACGCTCGCGATGGTCCAGAGCCTTGCTCATTCACCCTAGCGAGAACCGGGGTGTCGTGAACTTTAGCTTTCGTTTCATTTGTGCTACTAAAGAGTCTTGTAGTAACTATATTTCTGGGGAACTTGCACGGATTCAGCTCACCAGTTAATAGGCTCATTAGCTGATACCAAAGCATTCAACAGTTGCATTGTGCTTTCTGGGTAGCCCTCCCATCAGAAACCATAGCCACTGCCGTTTGGTTGAAGTACGAAGGAGTGCCCTGTTGAAAAGATCGCAGCGAAATGCCCTCCAGCCCAGTGACACTGGGAGCGCGCTCGATTGCAAACACACGGTGTTCGCAGTTAGACGTGCGCGACGCCGCGTGGGCGTACCGTCGCACGCCCCGTTTCCCAAGGTACCCCGCTCACATGATCAGCATAAAATCTGCGTTTCTAGGCGATGTTTCTGATCAGCGACAATTCCCTTCAGGGAAAAATGAACAGCTTCTTTCACAACCAACCAATGATGGTGAGAGCGATTGAACCTGCCTTACTCATGAAAAAAATCAAATTTATAAGAAAATGGAATTAGTTTGAAAGGCTCACCTTTTCTTGTAGACAGCTCATTTTTCAGCTGCTCAATCATCGACATTGCTATCAGATGAGCCTGGTCGTCCTCGCCATTCTGTAGATCTTAAAG